GGAGAGGAATGCAGTTTTATTTATTATTTTTATTTTTTTGAATGTGGTTTTAACCTGGGTTTTCTACGTTCATGGTCTTCAGAGGTAAGACAAAAGAAAGTCCAAAAAAAAAAAAAAAAAAAACTTCTTGTGGTTGTAGTGTTCTGAAATGCTTATAACATTTCCTGAGTGATCTGGGAAGGGCTGTACTTTAGACTCAGTGAGGGACATGGCAGTGTCTTGGTGTGCTGAACCAGCTCAGCTAGTCAACACTGTCTCGTTACTGAAGTCCAAATCTTTTCTCCAAAGTGCCAGAAATTTGGGCAGCAACACAGTTGTCCTTCCTTCTTGCGCAGAAAACAGATAAAATTTCTTCTCTGCCTATATAACAGGTATGGAGCTAACACTTTAGAAACTAGTAAGAGGTAAAGTACAAGGATTTCAGACACTGATGATTGCATCTATATTTGAAATACAATTCGGTTCCTTTCATAACCCAATTCCTGTTGTTTGTGGTGGGCATGTTCTATACAGTTACTAAGAGGATATTGAGTCATAGGTCTTAAGGGTAAGACAGGGTTAAGTGCCTGTTAGATGCTGGTTACATGTTTATCAGTCATACAATATATATTTTATGCATATTAAGCAATTTGTATAACTTTTGTAGTTGATTCATTAACGTTGAACTCACAATCAACAGTGCTGTAACTCACATCTGAACAAAGCTTAGCCAAGATGTGCATTTTCTATAAAGCATGCCGTGGCCTTCTTTTCCTTAGGAATGCCAAGAATAATTTTCGTGTTGTGTACAATGGCCATTGAAGCAAAATTCACCAAAGAAAACATCTCAGAATTCCACAAAAGTCGCTGTGTGTAATAGTAAGTGCATGGGGAAGGGACAGTTGTTTGTGGTATGAGAGATAAGAGCAGACAAAAAAGAAGCTTTGTTCCATCTCTGCTGGGCATGCAAGAGGAAGGTAAAATTTTCACTTGCACAGTTGCAAGCAAAAGAAAGCACCCTGAATTTCTAATTTAGGGTGCTTACAGTGTGTCTATAAAACATTAATTAAACTGCATGCATGGACTCTAAACGAGGGGCTCTAGGCTGAGAAATGATTATTTTGTTCTGTGTTATCCTTCGTAGCCTGGCCAGAACTGTTGTTCCTTTTGGTCCCAAAATGTACCCTCAGGGAATGACACTCAGAACAGGGGATGATCCAGGTAGACAGCAGCACTGGGAGAGGTCACAGGGCTCTGCCTCGGTCTCCCTGCCAACAGTGAGCTGATGCCCAGCGTTCTCAGAGCAAAGGTGCTGTCACTGGTGCCTGCTCCCCATTACGCCCACCGCCTTCCCTCCACTGCTCTAGGCACTATGACCTGTGGCTGGCACAGGATGTGTCCTGTCTCTGTCCAGACTGCCTGGTGTTCATGCCTCTTCAAGCCCAAAGCCTCCCGGAAGCCCACAGGACCTGGCAGCAGCCAGTTGTCCCTCCATGTTCACCAAGCCCTGCAACTCTCCCAGCAGCACTCACACAGGAGCCAGGGCCCAGTAGGAAATAGAAGATTAGTGGGAAAAGAACAGGATGTGAGGGAGGCCTGAGGCCAGTGGAATAGGAACCAGTAGTCTGGTCCATGTTGGCTCCAGTGAGGAGAGAGGGACAAAGACACCCAGGCTCCAGATTCCTGGACACAGGAGGGCTTCTCTGTTCTCACCCCTTGGCTCACCACTCTGCTTTCCTCATTTGGGGCTTTTTCACGTCTTTGCAACCAGCAGACAGGATTGGGCTTAGGGTCCTGGCAGTGCAGATCTGAGGGGCCCTCAAGTGAGCTCCCCGGCTCCGTTCTAGGCACCCAAGCCAGACACCTATGGTCAAAGACCCATTCCCTGCTTCAGATGCCCTGGCAGTTAGGAAGTCTTTTCAGTCACCTGTAACACTGTGTACCCACCTCCTGAGGTGCAGGCAGAGGTCAAACAAGATATTTTATTTCAATGTTTATTGATGTCTTAGAAATCAAACCCCACACAGATATTAGCTGCCATGATAATGTCACCGATGGAAGACAGGGAAGAGAGTGGGAAGAAACAAAGAACTGGAAAGGAGGGTCCCCCTGAAGGAAACCAGAGGTTCCACAAGACTTAGCAGTCATGTGCAGACAAAAAATGAGGAGAGGACAAGAAGTGCTTCCAGGAACTCTAGTGTGGAAGAAACTGTAGTCCAGACAGTGGAATTGTGAACCATAAGGAAGGGAAGTGGAATCAGTCAGTGTAACCCAGATTTAACCAGCTGGGTGTGACAGGGCTGTGTCCAGCAGCTTGACTTGCAGATTGTGTGCTCATGAGACCATGGGGCAAGATGTCCCCATCCTAGGGCGTCACCATCATGGGATGCCACCATCCTACAATGTTACTATCTTGTGATGTTGCTGTCCTAGGATGCACCATACTGGGTTGTCACCTGCATGGGATGCCATCATCCTGGAATGTGTCTGAGAGGGGTAAAGCTGACTACGATTGCTGGGTGGAGAATGAGGAGGCAAAGGACGCCGGCAAGAAGGTTCTCAGGAAACTTGGACATTCAGATAGTATGAGGAGAGAGAGGTGGCTGGGAGGTAACATGAAAAAGCAGGATGCCATTAAAAGGAAAGGGAAAAAACCTCATAACAACCCTTAAAATAAGGGTTGACAGGGATGGGACAGAGAAGGGTCAGACTAGGAAGGCTTACTGGGTGTTCTTAAGGTGGTGCTGTTGTTCCACAGCTTGTGTGTGTTAAAACCCACAGGACTATGCCAACGAAGACCATACAGCACAGTAAATAGATGAGGAGGTACAGGGAAGAGCTAGAAGAAAGAGCACAAGAGTCATTGGCTGCTTTTGCTGGCAGCTGCCTTGAAGTGCTTCCCCTGTGCCATGCCACCCTGCCTTGGAGCCAGCTAATTATGGACTGAAACCTCCACAAACTGTGAGCTAAATAAACCTTTCCTTCCTTCATTTTGGATATTGGGTATTTTGTTCCAGCAGTGAAAGAAAAGTAACCAAGACCTTTTTGATTTCTAACAGAAGCTACTTCCTTTCAGCCATTGCTTGTTTTCCCACAAGGCAATTTTAATTATATGACATTCCTGTAAAGCTAAAGGTATAAAAGGAATAAAAAGATTGGCTTCTGACAGGGTTTTGGGAGAAGGGGAAGAGAGAAGTAGATGAAGTATAGGAGATTTTAGGGTGGAGAAACTCCTCTGTATGATACTATAATGGTAGATGGATGTTATGCACTTGTAAAACCAATAGACTTTTATAGAAAATGGAGGGAATCTGAAGTGAACAAATTTAAGACATCAGTTAGGAGTATTATCAAAGGAAAGAAAGAAAGAAAGAAAGAAAGAAAGAAAGAAAGAAAGAAAGAAAGAAAGTGTAAGACAAAAATCCAAATATATTACATGTATAATTGTGTTGTAAAATCGATGAAACAATCTCACTAAAGAGGATCAGGGGAAAAGTCCTGAGCTAAGGAACTTTTGGAGGAAAAGGAGTGCATAGGATTAAAGAACAAAAGAAACTGCACATAAGCACTGTATTCCAGTTGACTGAAAAAAGTTATCTTGCCTGGCATGGTGGTACATGCCTGTCATTCTAACACTTGGGAGGCTGAGGAAGGAGGATTTCTGAGTTATAGGACAGGCTGGGCTACAAAGTGAGTTCCAGGTCTGCACAGTTAGACCATGCCTCAAAAAGGAAAAAAAAGAAGGGAAAAAGTTATTTCCCATCTGCATACACGTTAGTTAATTCATGACTACTACATATAAATTAAGCAACTAAGTAAATGACTGAGGGATATAACAGCCAGGTTTCCCGCACCTGGAGTACAGATCTACAGATGAGCAGGAGGAGGAAGCTAAGCAATCTGTGTGGTTACTCATTATAGCTTGGGACATCAGCAAGGACTTCTTCATTTATTGAATAAAGACAGGGTTACCTCTACTAGTATTTACAGCTATGTGTATATGTATGCAAGTTCTTACACAGATGTTTTTGTGCTCTGTTTAAACTGATTAATATGGAGCACACACCTTCATTGAATAGGAGAAACAGATGGAAATGAACATTTTATTACTTAAACATCTTGGCCCCAAGGCTGCAGCCCAGTGGTAGAATGTGGGCTGACCCTCCACAGAGGGCTGGAGGGTGGGAGGGTCGTGGTGGGTGGAGAATGTTTGGAGGGCCACACAACAGAAGGTTGCACATGCAGGCTGGGGAAGAGCAGGGAGATTCTGGTTCACATTCAACAAACACTGCAACCCCAGGTGATCAAGGTCAACACCAATGTTCATGAATCATATTACAGTCTGGGCTTTGATAGAGTATGGCCAAATTGGTATTTTGTCTTGTATTCTTGCCTGCCAGAGCCCACTCGAGTCTAATCATCAGCAAATCCTTTGACAAAGTCCAGGAAATGGAGCATCCTACAAAATGCCCCACTGTGCTCTTCCCAGATACCAAGGTCATCGAACACAGACAGCTGAGGAACTGTCAGAGCCAGGATCTTAAGGAGAGTGGACAATGACACTTCATGGGAATGCTGGGTGGGGTCTTGGAGCAGAAAAAACGAAATCAGGGAGAAACAAAGGAAATTTGAATAAAACAGCACATATTTTTTAGTCCCCGCATGGACTATAAACAAAGGAAGAGCAGATATCATCCCAGACATTCAGGACACGTGTATTGTGACCATTTTAGTAAATGGAAGATTTTGGAAATCCTGAAGGATTTTGGTAGTGATCTCTTCTAAACAACTATTTGGTTCTTCAGGAAACAGGAACTGCAGCCCCAAGTGGTGCTTCTGGTGGACCCAAACATTTTTGTAAGCACCCAGATATTAGGGATAATTAGATGAACAAATTTCAGTAGTTCTTCTGAAGTAATGTAGGAAAAGAAACCAACGATGAAAAAATTAAGTTGCATGATATAAAACTAATCATTACTCTTATCACACCTCATATTGCTTATAGTAAGAGGGACAATAACTTTCTTCATGGAGTTGTTAGAATTTATTTATTTATTTATTTTTTGCCAGTGAAAACTAAACAGTATAAGTGGCACAGGACTTCAAAACAAGAAAATAGAAAATCAGCAATGCTAATCATAATGCCTCTTGCTGCGTTCAAAATAGCTGTCCATACCTTCAGACATAGTAAAAATCAAACAAAACAGAACAGAACCAATGAAAACAAAACAATGAACACAATAAAGAAACTTCAAAACAAGTTAATAGTAAGTCCAATATGGCTACCATAGTGTATCTTTTTCTCTTTCAAGTAGCTTCCCACAACATTGGATATAATAAATCAAACAAACAAACAAACAAACAAACAAAAATGAAATAAAACCCAACCCAACAAAATAACGAATACAAAACAGGACTTCAAAACAAGACAATAAGGAATTAACAATGGCCAGCACCCTTAGAGGGAGATACCCCATAGATACTACATTGCATATTGTTATCTTCAGAATAGATGACGAGACTACCAGCTATAGGCCTACAAAGTCAGTGAAACACTGAACACTACAAGCATTAAGCTATATTTACCTCAATAGTTATCATCACAGCTTGTGTTTCTCCAGATCAGCCACTTGATTTTGGGGGTGGGGAAACCTTGTTTCTTCCTGTCTCCTAGCCTCTGCACCAGAAGGGGTTGGCATCTGGTTCTCCCACAGCACCTCAGACATGGAGCCAACTCATAGGGATGGTTTACTTCTTTGGCTTTTTTTTTATTCTTTTCCTCCTTTGCAGTCCATGAGCAGCACTGACTTATGGGAAAACACTGCCATTTAGTTTTTTCCCCCAGCTGCCTGCACATGGTGCAGACTCACAAGGAGGGCTTGCTTTCTGCTGACTTGTTTTAATGTTTTTTTAAAGAAGTAAAGGGATTATGAGGGAGAGTTTTAAAGCACACACTCAAGGAAATAGTGTAAGGCCAGAAAAAGCAGTTGCACAGAACAGGTAATATTTATGTTTTTGGAGTGGAATTTGTGAATTTACAAACCTTGTTTGCAGGAAAAAAGTGATGACTCCCCAACAGGGAAGACAGTAGCTTATTTTACAGAAGAAACAGAGTCAAGTAAACTATTTTGTATTTTTAAAGATTAAACATATTATCTAAAAATATTCTGTGATACTTTTGACAACCTGCCAAGATGTGGAGATGTGGATAACCTGAGATAACTCTGTGTCTTAGTCACATTCTTCTTAAAAGTACCACCTATAAATTATAATCTTCCTTGTCTCCTTCCTATCTTCTGTTTTGCTTCTGTTCTACCTGAATTTCAATTCCAGGGCTGTGATCAAACTCAATGATATGAAAAGTCCTTTCTCTGTAAATTTCAATGAAGCCAGCAGTATGCATGGCCACCAAGGAGCTATGGGAGTCAAACACTGGTGAGCCAGAAGAACCCCAATAAAAAGTGGTGTCATAGGTAACAACATTAGGGTTGTGAAGAATTTCCCTGAAACTGTTTTGAGTGTACATGTGGGCAAACTGAGGCTCAGACACTAATTCTCTCATATTTCTATCACACGTCTCTTTTCGCTCACTCTGAGGAATCATGACACATGCATCAGTGGACTTCCTTTCTCCTGCAGGATGCCCAATAATATACAGCAACCCATTAGCTGGTGCAGGGGCGATCCCACTGTAGAGTCCTGCAGGAACTTGCTGTCCATTTTCCTTGAGTTTCAGGACTGCATAGTCGAGATCTACATCAGATCTCAAACCAAGACTCGATGGAGAAGGAGTTGTGGTCTTTTAATTCAAACTCTTCATAACTGAATGTCACCCGAGCACAGTGGCTGATTATGTCTGCCCACTTACTGGGCTCTACTCCTTTTCCCACGATCTGATCTACCATGTGGTGTCAAGTGAAAATGTACGACCCGGTGAACATGAAGCAGGTGGCTGTACCCATGTAGCCATTATTGTCCCAGTGTAAGAATCCAACTGAGTCATTGAAATGTGAAAGGAGCCTGATTGTTTTAACAGGAGTAGAATTTTTGGTCTGTTTCCCAAAGTTTGTTCTAGGAAACCTAAGTGATGTTGTTCGTTTTTTTTCCCACTTGTTTTCACTTCTTTCTTGAGGTTTTTTTCTGATACTTTCTCTTTTTCTTTTCAAGCAGGAATGCTCTTCCGCAATGTATTCTTTCAATACATGGGTCTTCTTTTCACTAACTCAGAATTCTGTGTGGGCACCCTAGGGCTATTTCTAGTTTCAGCTTCGATCTTGAAGACCTTTCTCTCCACCTGACAGACTACTTGAGTGTTTTCTATAATGGAGTTCTTGTTGCTGATGAGTTTCCAATGGCCATTCTCCAGAAAAGGAAGAAATCTGTGGTCCTTGCACAAAGCCTCCTTGATGGTTTCTCCTTTGAAACTAAAGACACAGAGTTTGTTTCCTTCTTTGTGAAGCTCCTTACATTTAACAGTCCTTTTTATTGTCTACCCAATTGCATGAACATAAAATTTGACACAGTGTTTGATCTGTCTTGTCGGCCACATATTGGATTATCTTCCTTCTGCTCACTTACATGTTTGGAAAAGGTAATGTTCATATTGGCCTCATTAGGAATACAACTGAAGGGCATCCCTAGGTTCAGGAACCCTGTAATCCTTTCTGTGCCACATGCCAGCATTATTTTGCCTTGGTGAGACTTTACCTGTTCTATGATAGCCTCAAGACTATTGAGTGCCTCGTATAAAAAGGCCCTCTGATCTGGCCTGTGGATCAATCTGTGGGGTGTACCTGGAGGGGGAACAGGGATGAATAGAACAGGGGGGAGACAAAGAGAGATTAAAGCAAGTCAAGAGAATCCGATCAAGCCTCGTTTATTCAGGAAGTGGTCTCATCCTTTATGGGCCAAGGGTGGGCTAGTGGGACGGGAAGATGCTATGGGGTAGTTTCTGATAGGTTGTCGTCACGTCCAGTATGTGACATAAGCTGGAGAGGATTATGGTTAATGTAGGCAGGTGCATCATGTGCCCATAGGAGAGAGAGGCAGGGAGGCAGCAATGGGGTGGTCGTGCCACTCCCTACATCTCCTCCCTTTCTATATTATTTAATCAGGAGTATGGCAGGCCCTGTGAGGACAGCACCTGTCTTAGGTCAAGGAACCTAATTACGTGAACCCAACCAGGCCTTACCCGTCATGGGCTTGCAGTTCAGCAGTTAGTCCTGTGCCTGTCTTAGGCGGCCGGTGGGGTAATATGCATGTCCTAGTTGCCCGTCTCTGGCTGCCTGTCCATTGCCCCAGGGCAGTTAGGCCGCAGTGTCATATGGGCCACTCATGGGAATTCCTTCCCGGTAGGTTTGTTGATCGCCATCTCCAGCTGGTGGTAGTATACCTGAATGGGCTTTGCCATAAACACGTCTATCCAGTTATTAATGAGCATCATAATCCTCTGAAAAATACAAGGACCCACAGAAAAGAGAACAGGGCAGCTAGGGGACCCAAGATAGGGGTGCTAGGTAAGGGAAAAGTCCTCCCCACATTGAGGAGAAGGGGTTAGCAGCCATTTGTTGTCATCGCTGTTGAAGTCATTCTTTTATTTCTTGGAGATTGCCTCACACAACACCGGACCAATTGACATAGAAGCAACATTTTTCCTGTAAGGCAAGACAGAGTTTCCCCCTGCTCTGCCATGAGCAGGTTTAGCCCTCGTCTGTTTTGTAAGACCTCTGCCAGTGAGTCTAATTGGTTTTGGAGAGTTTTTATTGTAAAGGATAAAGCTTGAACATCTTTAGACAACTGGTTGGTCAGGTCAGCATATTTATCTAAGGCAACGGTGAGGCCAGCAGTACCCGTGGCTATGGTGCCAGTGATGCCCATTCCCACCAAAAGCAGGATCAGTGTTACTGCTCATTTTTGGTGGCCAGCAATGTAATCAAGTGTTGGCACCAGGACAGGGTTGCCTGAGACAATATCTATGTCGGGCAGGAGGGAAGCAGTTATGCATGTACCTGTCCAATTGGCTGGAATATAGTTATAGGCCCTATTATTACCGCAGTCAAAAATGTGTCCTGTCGGGGGGCACAGGGGACCTGTGTGATTGACAAATTGAACACAGGTGGTGGACAGGAGATGGCTCATATCTATAAGGGTAGAATCATTTTGGAGAGAGCCCGGTAGGCAGGTCATGGATATGTTGGGTGTTATTAATGGCTGGACTAGAAATGATTGGGAAGGTCTACAGGTAAAATTTTGTGGATCACGAGAGGGGTCAATTGTTGAGTTGAAGGGGATGGCTAAGGGCATAGGACTGCCTAAAGCCATGCACAACCAGCAGTCTTGCACTAAAGCAGGGTTAGTGAAGTTAAGTACATGGTGAGTGGCTGAAAGGATATCATAAGTTTGTGGATCTAAATCCACACCCCGTGATTTGGGGACAGCTAACAGATGGTAACTGATCTTTGGGAATAGACTGTCTTCTATTTCTTTTAGTTTTTTCTCAAAATAAAGTTCTCTCATTTTGTCTTGAGGACCTCCCCCATCTGAGACATGGATTGGAGCCCTCTTATACCAACAGACTGGTTTGTTGATTTTGCCTTTGCAGGAGGCTTGGGTGTACATGGGGCTTCCTGATACAGAGGAGTTGAGGCCCCAATCACCTCCAACTGCTGCCATTTTTATTTTTGTAAGTATGGCTGTAAAATAAGTGGCATTATCTAAGCCAGTACATTCTTTCTTTCTTCTTCTTATTATTATTATTTTTGTATTTTTACAGGTACCAGGGATCAAACTCCTGACTGCCTGCTTGCAAGGCAGGCGTTTATGCCACTGAGCTAAATCCCCAGCCCCAGCCAGTAATTCTTGTACAGCATCATAACAGGAGCTATGCATCTCTATCTCATATGACTTACACTCCTGTGGGCAAGGCCTTGGTCAGTTATTTTGTTTGGGTATAATTTGGGGTTTAGTTTTGCATTCCCAATTTTGAGTTAATCCCCCTGTAGAGGAGGGCCTGGCCATGAGAACCACTAAGGGTCGGCTGCCGAACGCAGGCGCCATTTGAAGAGCACCATGAGGCTTGCCAGAGGCAGGCGCCATCTTAGGGGCACTATAAGGCTGTGTAGCTCGGAGGGCCTTGTGTGACAGTCTCCTCAATCTGAGCATCTGCATGCTGCTGGGCAAGCAAGTCAGAGATTAAATTCCAGTATGCAAAGGTGGTCACTGGAACCTTTTGCTGGACCGAAAACCCTATCATACTCTTTTAGAGCATCTCCTACTCTTTTCCACCTCTTGGTATCTATAGAACCCTCTAGGGGGAACCAAGGGCAAACCTTATGAATAAATTGAAAATACTGCAATAATTCTTTTGTCCTAACCCTTAACCCTCTTGTCTTTAATGCCTTGCTAAGGCCTCCCACGAACAATTCATGTTTGCTCAATGCTTGACCCATGTCGGGGAAAGGGAATGAGGTTGCCGTTCACTCACCGTGACTCGGGCGGCACATCGGGCAGTCGTCCGCGTAGGCCTCGGTCCCTGATTCAATTTGCTTTTACTTCTAGCCAGCATTCTTGAACGGCTCCTTGTTGACTCCCCCGTGACAGGAGCCCCCATGCTGGGTGCCACTTGATCCGGCCCGCAGATCAATCTGTGGGGTGTATCTGGAGGGGGAACAGGGATGAATAGAACAGGGGGGAGACAAAGAGAGATTGAAGCAAGTCAAGAGCATCCGATCAAGCCTTGTTTATTCAGGAAGTGGTTGTATCCTTTATGGGCCAAGCGTGGGTTGGTAGGACAGGAAGAGGCTATGAGGTGGTTTCTGATAGGTCATCGTCACGTCCGGGTATGTGACATAAGCAGGAGAGGATTATGGTTAATGTAGGCAGGTGCATCATGTGCCCATAGGAGAGAGAGGCAGGGAGGCAGCAATGGGGTGGTCGTGCCGCTCTCTACAGCCCTCTCACTGTATGAGAGCTCATATTTCATGTGGTCGTTTTTATCCAAAGTAATGTAAATCTTCTTTGAGTGTGTGGTCTTGTCTTCTGGAATTTTCTTAGGAAGATAGCTTTCTTGACCCTGGGTACTGGTTATATCCCTTAGCCATTTCCTAGATTCTGCCTTCTTTTGAGGACGGTGGGTACCATTCTGCTGTTTTCTGGGCACCTAAAATTAAGTATTATGTACTTAAAAAGAGTGAATGCAACCTAGAGTTTTATTTCTCTTTTTACCATGAAATTCCTTAAGACACTTTGGGAAACTTAGAAGCAATCTTAAAAGGCGAGTAGATTGATATAATTATTTTTAATTTGAGATCCAAAATATAAACTGAGTTTCCTGTCACACAGGTCAAATAAATTCTACACAATGCTGAATTTTTCTGACAAAAGGTGGGGAAGAAACACAAGTATTTCCCCTTGTTGCTTAGAAATCCACAAACTTCATTATGGTATTTCAATCATATTTCTTACTTTTAACTATTTAATTTTTACAAATGTCAAGCACACTGATATATTACAATGTTGGCGACCACTACAAAGCTGCTCTGAGCTGGATTTAAATTTTACTAATTGGCTTTCTATGTTTATCTGTGAGTGTATCCTAGGCCTAGGCCCCTTGCCTGGCGACAGGAGCTGAATAATAGTAAGTGAATCTCTATAAATCACGGATCCTAACTGAGGCCTGTAGTGGCCTATGAGGCCAGAGATACTGCAAAGGGCAAGATAAGGCCACAACTGCGGACACTTGGCTCCAACTCCAATTAACAAGGTAGAGACTGTAGCTCCAAAGATTCCGCCTACAGTCTCATTTCTACGATGTCCTCATGATAACAGTGTTACTGAACTGACTTAATTCATTACTTAGAGACATCTTTGAAGCAATTTTGAAGCAAGGTCCTGCTCACTGCCTGCACTTTCCTCAGTTTCTCTGCCCTTTGTCCTTGGTCCTAATATAAGTGGACTGATCCAGAGAATCTTTTGTCTTTACCCTCAAAGCCTTGAGCTTAATTAAAGGGTTTTGACCCTCTTGGAGCCCTAAAAATCATACAATTTGTCTTTTTTTATTCAACCTCTGCTCTACATTCGTTTGGGAGATTGAGTATCTAGGACAGAACCCGATAACTGGTGCCCGAACAGAGAGTTAATATCTTTGGACTGGGAATTTATAGCCTGAATGAGTAACTCAGCCCACAGTGGAAAGTTTTGGATACTGAGGAGGCCGTTGCAGGATGAAAACTTTGCCAGGGATTCCTGGAGACAAGAGAGGGAAGAAAAATGGTAAGTCTTCCCACAGTGAAAAGCCATTTTTTTCTGGGAGTAAAATATGAGCAAGAGGTTTCAGCGGAGGAGCAGAGGTATTTAAAACTGCTTCAAAGCCTGCTTAAATGCTCAGGGGCTCATGTGCCAAAAACTGACTTAACAAACATGTTAAAAGAGGTAACCAAATATAATCCATGGTTTACTCAAACAGGCACTAAAGAGATAAATATACAAATCATTTCCCTTGACATGTTCTCAACTTGGTATCTGGTCAGGTCAGTTTTAAAGAGCTCACAGTCTGCAGGCTCTGATTCAGACACAGAAGGAAGAGCTCCCTGCTGAGGCACTTGCCACCAAAACAAATTCCCTAGAGGGACCTCAGCAGGAGCCAGAACCTTTACAAAAGGCTCTATCCTCATAAGGCTCTGTCCAGAATTGTGCACAGAAGAGGCAGCTGCAAAGGGAGCAAATAATACCATCCCTGCATGTTTCCCAGTTGGAATTGTAACAGATGCTAATGATCAGGAGTCTTTTATTCATAAGCCTTTTGAAATACAACTGCTAAAAAAAGTCTTAAACAAGGTGTGGTTAACAATGGAGTCCAAAGTCCATTGCTCTTACAAAATGTTTTAGATACATATCAATTGACACCTTATGATATCAAACATTTGACACAAACATGCCTGTCTCCCGCTCAATTCCTTCATTTTGATGTAAAGCTGAAAACTCTTGTCTTGGAGCAAGCTCATAAAAATAGAATAGGTCCCAATCCATGTCCAACAATAAATGAGGAAATATTTTCTGGGACAGAAATTTGGGGTCCCCCACCTAAAGGAACAGTTGGTATTGTGCTGGGAAAGGCTGATTTAAATTTAAAAGGAATAACTATTATGCCTAGTGTGCTTGATGGTGATTGTAGAGATGAAATACAAGTTCTTACATGTGCTATTGACATGTGAGTTTTGAACAGGGAGACTATATGGTGCAGTTGATTTTGTTACCTATAGAGAAGCCTTCTTTTGTTAAGTATAGACAGCTCAAGAGGGAGCAGAACAAAACTACAAAAAGAGAAATTTATTTTATACAGGAAGTGACTAAAAACAGACCTATATGTTTTATAAAAATTAATGGGAAATACATTGAGGACCTAATAGACACTGGTGCCAATGTGTCTGTAGTTACATTAGAACAATGGCCTGCCACGTGGCTGACATCCCTTATTGGACTCGGGACCTTGAGCACATTTTACAGAGTGCTTCACCTTTGTCTTATGAGGGACTGAACCAACAAAGGGTTTCTTTTTACCTTATGTGGCACCTATTCCAGTTAACTTGTGGAGAAGAGGTTTATTACAAAAGTGGAAATTAGTGCTGACTAGCAATTGTGATTTTAAAGCTGAACAAATGAATTCCAATTTGGAAACTGAACAAATAGATTCAAATCCTAAAATTAAGAAAATGATTATTAAAATGGGATAACAGAAAGGCAAAGGACTAGGAAAAAACTTACAGGGAATCAAAGAGCCTGTCAAGATTACACCTAAAGATGACAGGCAAAGTATTGGATATCAACAGGTTTTTTGACAAGGGCCATTGAGGCTTCTCCCCCCAAAACAGCTCTGCCTTTACAATGGAAAACTAAAGAGCCTGGTTGGGTAGATCAATGACCCCTTAAAAAAGAAAAGCTAACTCAATTACACAAATTAGCTGAAAAATAATTACAACAAGACCATTTAGAAAGCTCAGTTAGCCCTTAGAATATTCATGTCTCTGTTATTCCAAAGAAGTCAAACAAGTGGAGATTGTTATAAGATTTAAGAGCTGTAAATGCCTGCTTACTTCCTATTAGGGTGCTGCAGCCAGGACTGCCAAATCCAACTGCAGTTCCAAGAGCTTGGCCTCTCATTATAATTGATTTAAAAGGTTGCTTTTTTAACATTCTTATTTTTCCCACAAATAGACCAAGTTTTGCATTTTCCTTGTTTAATTTAAACTTAAAAAGATCAATACAGCTAATAACATGGAAGCGAGGTTATGCTTGTGTCTTAACAGGTGAAAGATCCACAAGATATACACAGCATTGGTGGGAGACACAACCAATGCTGAGGACAGCCTTAGGTGATGGCTCCACCAAACTGGGCCCAGAGACCAGGAAAAAAGACAAAGTGATCCAATGGAACAACATCCAAGAAATGATCTGTGAGGCTAGAGAAATAGTTACCAGAAGGGAGATTCCACCAAACCCTGAAAATCTTTTGGTTGCCTTAAGGCCCTGCTGGGAGTATCAGTATATATGACACCTGTCTCAGGAGTGGAGAAATGGACTTATATCCCTAATCCACTATTACTCAGACCCATTACTTGGGCAGATTCTCCACCTGAGATTTGTCATGAACTAGACTTGACTTCCTAAATTGTGCCATTACTAGGCCACTCGTTTCTGCATAACTCCTTTCCCTTATAATGAATCTATGCATCCTTGGGAGGACATAAAGAAACATATACAAGGAACTATCCATCAAAATGAGAAGGAGATTTTTGTCAATATCCCAACAAACCCAAAAATTTGACAAACAAGTTCAAGATTGAGACAAGTTTTCTGATGCTTTAGATTAAATCCATTCAACTGTCTGAAGGCACATTTCTGGCTTTATGTTGGTATTCTTGGAGTAATCTGTGTGTTTATCCTTATTTTACTCATAGTCTGTCAAAGAAGAGCCAAAACCGGCCGACTCCTAGACAACATTCAACCTTGTCTTACTCTGATCCAGCTGTTGCTACAAAACACAAGGGAAGAGATGTTGGAGACCACTATGAAGCAGCTCTGAGCAAGATTTAAATTTTACTAATTGGTTTTCTATGTTTATCTGTGAGTCTGTCCTAGGCCTAGGCTCCTTGCCTGGCAATGGGAGCTGATTCATAGTAAGTGAACTTTTATGAATCATTGGTGCTGGCTGAGGCCTGTAGTGGCCTGTGAGGCCAGACACACTTCAAAGGGCAAGATAAGGCCACAACTGCGGACACTTGGCTCCAACTCCAATTAATAAGGTAGAAGAGTCTGCAGCTGCAAAGATTCCTCCTACAGTCTCACTTCTACCATGTCTTCATGGGGCTGGGGATTTAGCTCAGCGGCATAAGCACCTGCCTTGCAAGCAGGCGGTCATGAGTTCAATCCCAGGTACCGATTTAAAACAAACAAACAAACAAACAAACAAACAAAAAACCATGTCCTCATGATAAGACAGTGTTACTGAACTGACTTGATTCATTACTTAGAGACTTCCTTGAAGTGACTTCCAAGGTCCTGCTCATTGCCTGCACATTCCTCAGTTTCTCCGCCCTTTGTCCTTGGTTCTAATATAAGTGGACTGATCCAGAAAATCTTTTGTCTTTACCCTTGAATCCTGGAGCTTAATTAAAGGGTTTTTAACCCTCCTGGAGCCCTAAAAATTATACAATGTCTCTTTTTATTTAATCTTCGCCATATACTCATTTGGGAAATCAGGGGTCTAGGACAGAACCCAATATTGCACTATATTTTTTCATGTTAGAACACCAAATTCAGTATGAATAAGTTACAGTGGTTTATTGTCAGGCATTCAAAATTACAAAACTTCATCCCTAAATCCTATGTAAAGGGGAAAATCTCACTCACCCTCTCCATTTTTTGGATGGAGAAACTGAGGGACAGCATACAGTTTTACGCGTGTCTTTTGTGAGATCACACAATACCTAGTAAATAAAGTAAATGCCAATACTCCTGTACTTAGTCTAATATTTTTCCATGTGATTATACACTTTTTTTTCTTAAATTTTGCACCCAGGATTTGCATTTTTATAAGTTGTTATCTTATAAGCCAGGGGTGGAGAGAAGGAATTGAATAATGGCAATTAATTACCTAGCAACAATGTAATGAATAGCTAAGAACCTCTGATTGACAGGTCTGAGAGATACCCTCTCCCTGACACATTGCTCATGGCAAGAGTGGCCCAGGCCTGGGTTTGTCTGCTGGCCATGCTGTTTGCTGGTGATGAGGATCTCAAGGCCAGGGCTGCTGTAGAGATCCGGCCTGAGGTCAGTGTGTGGCAGAGGTCAGCACCATGATGATCATGTATGAGGCTGAATTTCTTTTGTTTTGTAATAATATTAATATTCAGGGTTAGCAAGATAAAAAAAGAACAGAAGGTAATATAAATGTACTCTGGCTAAGCATACATATTCTTAAAGCTTCCTTTCAGCCCACACTGCCAGATGCATCCTGCTTTGCAGCCCTAGGAGTGCTGAGAGGGAACCCAGCTCCTGGGAAGATTCCTGCGACAATGCAGGTGCTGGAGAAAGGGAAAGAGGGGAAGCACAGACAGTTGTGGGCCCACTCAGTCATGGAGCAGGATGCCAGATACAAGCAGACCAAAGCCTGCCTTGCGTATTGCAGATACTGAGATGCTCTAGAGTTCTAGAACCAGATGGAGAGAAGATAGATTAAAAGCTTTGAAACTACCCTTTCAGATGCCTCGAATTTCTCAGTCTTCTTGATAAATTAAGGTGCATTTTAAACTCTGGAAGGGATCAGAAGACCCAGCCCTGATATTAGACACAGCCCTGTGTTCACCTTGGCAAACTTCAAGCCCAAGTCTTCATTCTAGCACTCTAGGACTGCATTGTCCATTCGCTTTTTTTTTTTTTGGTCTTTTTTCATTTTTATCGGTACCGGGGATCGAACTCGCGACCGCCTGCTTGAAAGGCAGGTGCTTATGCCGCTGAGCTAAACCCCCAGCCCCTGTGTCCATTCGCTTTTTGAAAGCAAGGTGGAGACAACATTCCATGTGCTCGCCTAACAGGCTTATGGATGGAACAGACAAAACACAGAGAGTGCTTCATACTTTACAGCGTCCTTCAAATACAGCTTTTTATGATCCAATATGTCAGCCATACTTGGAATGCCGTTTCCAGGCTGTAAAATACTCTCAACTTTCTAGTTTTTTCCAGATTACTCTAATAAGTTTTATTTTTTGTGGTTCTTGAAGAAGTATTGCAACAGTTTTTATTAAAAGCTACTTTGCTCTAGTCCTCATTATTTTTAAATCACAGTTGCCTTCTCTACTGCCACCTTCCAACACAGAAAGAATAAAAGACAGAGAAAAATGCTAATTTGTATAACATTACCAGTAAGCACGGCTATTTCTCAGCAGGAAGGACTATGCAACCCAGGGCCAAGGATGGCCAAGCTAATATCAGCACGTCCTACAGTCTCTGCAGACACACCTGAGGAAAGAAGTCCACGATTATCATATTGTTCTCTGTGTCTACTTTCCGGGACCTGGGCTTCTGACAGCTCATGACGGCTTGACGATGAAACAGATGGTTCAGCTGAAATCCTAATTTCAAAAAGGTCCAAGTGAGAGAACTATCTTTGCAGCTGCCATTAACTATAAAGGAAAACATTAACCAGGGTCCCACCCTTCCTCTGTCCCCTTCAGCTCTGGGCTTACTCTCCCGCATACATTAACTGAGCATGTAGACGGTTTATGTGTCAAGGTTAAACTAACTCCGACAGCAAAATCTCTTTTATGAAGAGCTGTTTCATGTTGGGTAGTACACTAAACACCATTTTAAACACATTTAAGTGTGAATCCTCACACCTACTGTGGACAACAGCTTATATCTGGATTTTTGTTTTTCAAGCAAGTGTGGCACAGAGAAGAGAGGTGACAGACTGAGTCCAGAGCTCAGAGCACAAGCAGACCTTAAATGTGGATGAAAATAACCCTACCTAGTGTTTGCAGTGTTAGGTGAAATAATCCAGACTCATAGGCTTAAAAATCATATGGTTTCTTCTAATGAGAAATCAAAAGAAGAATCAAACCATAGAGTAATAAAAAAGTTACATAATAGGAAATAGGGAGAGAGCTCTTTGGACCACAGAAAAGAGATCAAGAGATAGTGAAAGGAGAGAAGATGATAGAAGAATTAAGAAGTATTAGAGACTTGTGCCAACTCCCCACAAAGAGTGTAATTATTGGTTCCACAGATATGCATAATAAAAATAACAATGTTTGAGAAGTTAAATGTTATGGTTGATACATTGTGTTAATTTGAGAAGTTTAGAAGTTTAACTAAGAGCCTCAGCACAAGCCAGCATCATTTACTTTGTAAATATCCTCATCCTGTTTAAGAAGAGGGCACAGAGATTTTGTGAGGGCGACACCAGCCCTAGAGAGGGGGTGGTGGCCTGTGTGCGACATAAGGCAGGAAACGAGACTTTTGGGCACTTTTTCCTACATTTTGCTCTAGCAGCTGCCTTGAAGTGTTGCCAGGGTGCCACACCACCCTGCCTTGGAGCCAGCTGATTGTGGACTGAAACCTCCACAAACTGTGAGCTAAATAAACCTTTCCTTTCTTCATTTCAAGTGTGCGGTGGTTTTGTCTCAGCAAGGAGAGCAAAGTAACCAAGAAGTTAGGAAAAACAAAAAGTGTGTCACACTGATGTGAAATGCTGGTCTCCATTTAGGACGCAGATGGCACAGTGGTAAAACCACAGGGACATGAAAATCCTTGGATTGTGTCTCCATGTTGTTGTCTGCCTCATGCATTCTCCAGGGCCTCAGAGCCCAGAAGTCCGGGAATTCCCCTCAGCGCCACTGCCCAGGGCTCCCTGCCAGCTGGCTGTGCTTCCCGCGCTTGGGCTCTTGGGAGGTTTCATTTTGGCGCCCAGACTTTCTGCTGTGGGGGGAGGGGTGGCAGGGACCATGGCTGAGTCAGGCCCTTCAAGCTGTCAGCACCTGGAGACTTGGACAGGAAGCCCTGAAATTACATCCGTGTCCCCTTAACCGGCCAGTGCTCAGCTAGGTGCGGCCCAGGCAGCACCTCTAGCCCTGAAACTCTGCTAACCCGTGCACCTCTGTTCTCCCAGAACCCAGAGCTGGAGCAGTGCCACCTCTGCGCCTGGGGAGCATCGCGCGCCCTGGGGCACAAACCTGGAGCCCGGCGCAGCGAGGCTACATCTTACTGACTCAGAGCTCAGCCCTCTGGCCCTCCAGCCATCCGGGAGTCAGCTCCTGGCCTGGATTACTCAAAAAGACGGGTCCCCTTTCCGCCCGGCCCAGTTCTCTTGGTTTTCCCGAAATCGCCCCGGCTCCATTTTGCGGGGACCGCATCCTCACAGACTGGCTGCTTCCTACCAGCCTGCACCTGCCAGTGATTCTCAGGGAAGATTTCTCCCCGAACCCTGAGTCTGCCCAGGGACCGAGGGTCGACTTACCCGGGGGCCTTGAGTACCTGGGGACGCGCTCTTTCAGATGGCGGTGGTTCTGGGGCAGCGCAATGGCCCGAGTGGACTGAGCAAGGCGCGGGCGCAGATGCAGGAAGCCGCGAGGCGGAGTTGGGGCGAGGCGGGGAGCCCGCGCAGCAGCAGCAGGAAATCCGCTCCCGGCTTCTCTGCTTTGGGTTCCCTGAGGGTATCGGGAGGCGGGAAGCGCATAGTGTGGCGGGGCTGGGGCTGAGATTCCGGCATCCCCAGTCACTGGGGAGGGACCAGAACCAGGCCATTCCTCTAATGGGAGAGGCCTGGCAGGAGACAGGGATGCAGCGCCCCAGAGCTGGCAGGTGGAAGATAACAGTATGCAGCCTAACAACCTAACAACTGTTACATTCCTATCACTTTGTTTTAAAATCCTACATGGACGCTGGTTGTTGCCATTGTTGTGGTCGTCATTGTTCTTTTGTTGTGTATTAAATTGTTTGCTTGCTTCTTGATTTTTCTGTTTTTTTTTCTCTATAAAGTAAAATAAAACACAAGAAAATAGATAAGAAATGCGTGCCTCAAAGCTCAGGAGCAGAGACCACAGGAAGCTTGCGAGGCAGCACATTGCTTTCCGGGCAGGGATTGGAGGATCCCTGGCTACATGGGAACCAGGAATCAAACTCACAGGCTATCGCCTCTTATACAGTCCACGAACGACTGGGACCCTGGGGAGCCACAGGTCTGCACACAGTGCGTTAATAATGGGAAAGGTTTGCAGCGCAGACCCTAATGTATACACAAAGTTCCTGGAGGAGACAAAATCACTGTTCTTCCTCCATGGTTTCTCTAGGATTTGACTCGAATAATGTTAAAAAAAAAAAAAAAAAAACGCAAGAAACGCCCCTCCTTCTGTGTTCCCTGAATTACATAATAAAAATATCTGCCTAGCATAGCTTAAGAACCAGTGCAATACACAGCCTTAGAAAACTCCAGGGTTCGGGACTCACTCAGAGGTGGAGAGCTTGCCCCGGAGGTGGGAAACCCTGGGTCCAGTCTCCTTTAACAGAAAATGAAAAGAAACCTCTGGTTGCCTCCAGGCCACTGTAGCTTGAACCCAGGCCTTCTCACTAAGCTACGACCCCAGGCCTGTATTTTATTTTATAACTATTTTAAACTTTATTTTATATTATTACAATATTACAATTACATTGTGTAATATATTACAATATAAATTATATATTATATAATTACATATATAAAATATAGTAGATAACATATTTATTATATATTATTTATTATAATATTTTATTATATTAAACAATATTTTATTTTATATCTTTATTTTAAACAGAGCCTTGCAAAAAATGCCCAGGCAGCTCTAGAACTTGTGGTTCTCCTGCCTCAGCCTCCAGACAGCAGAGATTACAGTGTGTGGGCCTCCTTCATTTTATGTCCCTTTGTCCTTTTGAATGGAAAAACACTAATTGCTAATCTTGAATGTATTTTATTATTACTATGGTCTTACATTTCTTTAAATACTTACACAAATATATACATTAGTACATATAGGATTTATATATATTAAAAGCAACACATTGCTTAATTTTGTGGTTGACTCTTGCTTTATTATTTTTTCCAGTGCCTTATGATGCTAATCCTACATGAAGGAATCCTCCATTCACTGGCATAGTAGACAAAATATATTGAAGAAATTAACCATTTGTGCACATATGTGTGCATTCGTCCATAAACACTAGCACAGGTCCTGGAGGAGGTTCCCACCTGCATGTGTGTCACATCTTCCAGGCACACACTCACACTTGCCCCCCTTGAGTAAATGCTGATTGACCATTTTAGGTACTGTCAGTTTGTATTCCAAAAGGATTGTGTCAATTTGTACTGCTAGCAGTGGGGAATGCAGGACTTCATTACTTAACAAGTTCACTTAGATTTTGTGTTGTCCAATTTTTAGTGTTGCATAATTTATTGGGTGAGCCATAGAATTTTGCTGCTGGATTAAACACTTATTTCCTGAATTTTTTTTTGTCTTTTTTGACATGGGGTCTCACTATGCAGTTCAGGCTGGCCTTGACCTCATTTGGTAGCCCAGGCTGGTCTCAAACTCACAGCAATCCTCCCACCTCAGCCTTTCGAATGCTGGGATTACAGGCGTGAGCCACCACGCCCAGCCTTTATTTCCTAATTATTAATGGAAATGAATGTTTTCTTCTCTGTTTTAGTTACTTTTTCTCACTGATGAGACAAAACACCTAACACTCAAAGATAAAGGACAAAAGGTTTATTTCAGTTACACAGTTTGTAGAGGTTTCAGTCCATGGCCAAGTGGCACAAAAAAACAGGGTTGTATGGCAGAGGTGCAAAGCAGAAAAAGTTCATGGCAGGCAGAAGATGGCAAAAGCAGCAAGATACAGGCAAGAAGGGAGGGCCACAGCTATTTCTGTCCCTTGCATCTTATCCCTTAGGACAGGTAGCACTCCCACCCTTAATCCTGGTGTCACATCGTAAATCAGTCCCAGCATCACATCCTTGATCACAGCAGCTGTTATGGTTTGTGTCTAGATTTCCCCCAAAGCCTCATGAGGTCACAGATTTTTTGGAAGCAGCTGTATCTGGAGCTTGCGATGAGTCATTATGCAATGCTGGGATTAAGGGTGCTGGGATTAAGGGAGGGTGACTGCTGGAGTGGTCCACTAACTCAATTGGTACCACCCTAATCCGAGATAACTCCATATGATATACAGCTATTGGCTCGTCTCACTCTACCTTGTTGCTTTTCTGTCTTCTGCCATGAACTGTTATTCTCTACCATCTGACACCCAGACTCAGAGACAACTGCTTATGGAATACAACCTCTACAAACTGTGAGCTAATCAGTCTTTCCTCCTGTAACTTAGGGTGTCAGAGATTTTTGTCTCAGCAAGTAACAAAAGTAAGACAGAACTATAAACCTTAGAACCAGACTCCAGCATAAAACCCACCTATGACCACACAAGCCTGTGGGGGAAAACAAGACACAAGCTATAACATTCTTCTAATTTTCTCTATTCTTTTTTCCTTCTACCTCCCACCTTCTCTTCCAACCTTTCTTTCCCTTTCCTCCTTCCCTCTTTCCCCTTCTGCCTTCCTTTTTCCATATTGATGATTGAACTCAGGGCCTTCACTGTGACCCATGCAACTCCAGATGTTTTCGAGGGAAGAATGATAAGAGACTGAGAAAAATGAAGAAGAGAGGAAAGCTGAGGTCAAGTGGAGTCCTCACTATCCTGATGGGAGGAAAAGTCCTGCCCTCTCACTGTAGGAGCACTTATTTACATATTTAACAGCTTAACCTGATGCTCTATTGCTTAGTAATCTGCATGCATGGTCACCCAAGGCCCTGCATTTGGGGACCTAGAGTACCTGTTTCTGTAGCTCACGCAGGCAGTCTTTGTGTTCTTATTTGGCTGGTGGCTGCTGCAGATGTGAATTCCCAGCTTCCCTGGCTCCCAAATTTCACACACTTTTTTTTTTTTTTTTTTTTGTGGCATGAGATGGGTGGTCAGATGAAGCTCGAGAAGCTATATTTGGAGAACTCTGTAGATTTTTTCATCTTTGACCCCTTTTCACTTAAAGTGCAGTCCAAGATTTTGAGTTCCTGGGTTTCAAAATGTAAACACTGACAGCCCATTAATCCATAACCTAGTCAGTGACAAGTGTGGCCAGCATTGGTCAGGTTTCAATGCTTTGAGCTTCTTTTATAGCTAACATTTACTATAGGATTGTACTACGCAGAGCAGGTAAAGACGAAACCTGAATTAGATACAGTGATTCCCTTGTTAACTTGTAAGCGCAGTTAAGTCTCCTTAGGAATTAGCCTGGAGGCTTGCATAGCTCCTCTCAGTCCTTCTGTCTGTTTCAGTCCTGGGATGAGGCACTGGGGTGCTTCACCATGTTGCTGTCTATGAAAGATTGAGAGCATTTTTCTCCTGGTGACTCTCCTGAGGCACACCACATACTTACATTCACGTTCATTTGCAGGCTCACAGTCTCCCTGATCAGGAGATCAGGGACTCGCTGAATATTGGATGACACAACAGAGGTTCTCTTATGTTCTACATCCTCACTGACCTCTCAGAGCCAAGACCAAAACATTGGCTTACCTCTCAGCCCATCTATCTTTCTAATTTTTGGTCTCTGAACATCACTGACTGAACATCCAGAAGAAAAGACTGATAATAGTACAGTGTGGTAGAGACAGGAAGCTTAACATTACTATCTTACCTAAATAGGAAGCACCCCAGAACATTAAATGGAAATGATACTTTGTATCAACTGTTGATGTTTTAACATTCTAATACTTAATGGAGTGTTAACAATTAAGTATTTTACAGAGAAAAATTAGAAATTAAAATCATATACAACATTATAGCTGAGGACAGTGACAAATGCCCCACTCCAAGAGAATAGCAAGCTCCAGCTGTCCAGAGTCTCTGATGGGGTGTTTGGAACTGTCCTCTGTTCCCAGCATACACAGCAGGATCCCTAGCTAGACCTGTGTGTGGCCAGTATTGCCTGAGGTTTGTGGCTCTGTTCTGAGAGGACAGAATGTGGGGTCCTTCTACTGCCAGGAAGAAGCACCTCAAGGATCAGATTTGCCCTGTCCCTGCATACCTTCTGGCATTGTTTACTCATTGGTAAACTTGGGAGCTGAGTCGAGATCCAACTCTTGCTTTTGTTGTGAATGTTTTTATGTTGTCTAAAAAGCTTTTAAAAAGTTTTAATGTTGTCTAAAAAGCTAGAAAAAAGGTAATTGATAGGTAATAAACAGAAACAGAAAAACAGAGAAACAAATGTGTTCAGAATTTGACAGTATTGGATCAGTAAACCTTTACTGCAAAATGTTTCCATTAAAATGAGATTATATTCTAAAAAGGGGAGGACAAACTGGAGCCCTTTGTCATCCCAAGTTTATATAATGATAAAAAGTCAGTGTTGACCATATATAAAATATATTTGCCTATGAAAATAAAAATTAAAAAGGACTGTAATTCTTAGTCCCATCCAGACTAGAAGCCATCAGCGTTCAGAATTGCTGGACTTCTCTTCCTCATCCCCCTTTTTCTAAGGACCCTCAGGGCCTTATTTCTCTTTTGGAATTTGTCTTCTCCATTCATCACCCCACTTCGGATGACTGCCAGCAGATTTTTCAGGTTTTGTTTATAGTAAAAGAAAAAAAAATTCATGTTTTGGGATAAAAAGCAAGTGTACATTCCAAATGGTTGTGTTTTTCGTTTATCCCGCCCTGATCGGACAACCAGAGGTAAAAAGGCTCTCGTTCAGTATTGCCAGTTGTTCTCAGAAGCCTTTAAGGGCTGCCAGAAAACCCAGCAATTTGTCCAAGTAGCAGAGGTGAGACAATTAGATGATGAGTCTCCCTCGGGGTTTCTGGAGAGATTGCTAGAGGCCTATTACATTTGTACACCTGTAGACCTGGTAACACCTAAAAAGGCAAGGGCCATTAATAATACCTTTGTAACTGTCAGCCCCTGATATTAAGCAAAAATTGCAAAGGCTTAAGAGATTTAAAAAAAATTAGTTAGTTATTAGTTATTAGAGTTTGCTTAGAACTGACTCTTTCCTCCCAGCTGGTGCAAGCCATTCAACAGATTCCAGTTCCTGTGACTAAAAAGCAAATATGAGAATTTCTAGGAGCCATAGGATATTG